TTTTAACTGAACACTTATTTAATCATTATGGGAATACATTTATAATTTATATGCATAGTCATAGTTAATAATTAAGTAAATTTSTCTTAGTGATATCTTGATGATTTCCCTTTAAAGTTAAGCTGATTCATACATCATGTTTTCACTCACATTTATATTGTAATTAGAACTGCTGCATTTTCACATCTGCTGAGACAGGATTAGTCTACTTCAGGACACGATTCAGTTAAAATAAAAAGTTGTCCGATCTTTGCCCTGTGCAAAAATGTAGAAGGATTCCTCTACTACTTCTTGTCTTTCATACAACGGTACCATCAATGGTTGATTTTTAAAGCAGGTCAGGAACCTACTTAAAAGTTGATTATGAATAACTAAATAAAAATGTGTTATTAATTAGAAGTTCCATCTAAAATGTTTATAAACTTATACTTTAAAATATGTATATTATTATATGTTCACTATTATTTCATAGAGTTAAGTCATAAACATTTATGAGACTTACAGGAATATAAAGCTAATAGTGATTTACTGTAAATCATTTATTTGAGAAATTGGGATTGTTTAGAATTCTTTTCAGATCTTTTGGTACTTTCTGCTTTTGTTTCTTTTTGCAGAAGCTTCACTGAGATTTTCTCTTCACAAGTCCTATATATCTATAACATTATTTGGAGTCAGCCATCAAAAACTGCTTTGTTCTCATGGATATATGTGTATTTTCTTAAGCCTTTTGATATGCAACCTGGCTATAGTTTGATGCTAAATATCTGCATAATATCCACAAACTAGGTCTAGTACAGTTTTTATAGGTCAGGGGAAATTATCACTAACTTCCTATTACCACTAAGTGTCGTGGTAGCAAAGAAAATCCTTGACATATTAGGCATTGAACAGTCACACAGTCTCTTTGAAACTTCCTATGGCCCCAAAGCACCACAAATTGCACTTCAGCCCCACTGAGTGCCTGCAGATTTGGGAGAGGTACTCAAAGTCACTGGAGATGGAAGATGGGGGAGCTCAGCAGATTCACTGCCAGAATAATTTACTGCTGGTAGTACAATATTTTTCAGCTGTGCTTATTTTTAAGACCTCACAGACAAGGATGAGTCCATGGTTTAGGATCTATTTTAATGTTATCCGAGAAAATGATCTTGGAAGGATGTTAATGTTGCAAAATAAAACATCAGAGGCAAAGAATGCCAGAATTAATATGGCCTCTAGAAATTTAGCTTCGTATGCAGTTTTGATTACATGGCGTTCTAGGCTTTCCAGAAGAGGTCTTCTTTGTTCAGGAGATCTGTAGTTACTTACATTTTCTTTTTATTTTTATCTTATTTGTTAAACATGAAGCATCCAAACTCCATATCAACTATAAAATTGTTCTTTGTCATTTAGATATGTTAAATACATTAACATATCTCGTACTTTGTAGTACTTCAAGTACTAGAGATGCATACATTTGCATCTCTATTTTGCAGTATCCTCATACCCTGGATACCTAGAGTTTCACGCTTGAAAAATTAAGAACCAAGGCAAGATTAAAGCAGAAATTTATGTTTAAATGTTTACTTTTTTGACTAATAAGAGGCAAATTAGACCTTCATTTTTTTCTGTATAAACATAACATTCATACACCGTCTTGCAAGYTCAAAGTATGGCTTTCCTGCTTGGATCTTTAATGAGATCTGCAGTGCAGGTGGTGTAGCAGAAGTTGAGGGGTTGGAGTTAGGAGGGGCTGGGGTGGGACTGAGCAAGCAAAGGAGAGTTTCTCCTATGTCAGGCCCTTTCCTCATGTCACAGGGCCTCCTGGCAGACAGAAGTAATTTCAAGGAAAATCTTACCTAATTCCTACATCCTTGAGATGTGCTCCTACACCTTCTGTACTCAGATACACAARTACGTTCTTTGGCAGCTCGACTCCAACAAATTTCTCATAATGGAGTGAAAATATKTTTTTTTCTTTCAGAAGCCCATAAGCAACTTGATCAAATTGGGCAGCATATCAAAAATGGTGATTCCTATGTCCTGTTGTACTCCTCTCTCTTCCAGTTTTGGAATCTTGCAACAAAAAAAAATGAAGACACTAAAGTCTTTCAGCAGCGTAGTGCGTGGTCTTTAAAATATGGACGAACAATCTATTTTCTTCTGAATTTATTCTTTTAGCCCAATTTGACCCAGATCTTGAGCAGCTGATATTGATATCTTACTAGCATCTTACATCTGAATGATCCTCAGCACGCCTGTAGTTAAAGGGTGAGAAAACCTTCTCACATACAGGGAAAAAAAAAAAAAAAAGAAAAAGAGCAGCAGGGAATAAAGTTCTTTTTAGCATTAAGTGCTGCATGAGAATATAAATAAATGTGGTGTTAAATAAATGCTGAGTATTTCAAAAACAGCAAATCAGATTAAGCAGAAGAAACAGTAAAGTTGAAAAGACAGGAAATTTTATTTAGTTTTTGACAGTATGTTTTTCCAGTGATCTTGTGTTCACCCTCAAGGGTGGCATAATTTTATATATAACAAAATGTATTTTGCTATTGCAGTAGCTCTAAAGAGAAGTCATGTTCATACTATATGGTTGCTTCATACTATATGGCCACTTCAAAGAAAATTTGTTGCCTGAAAATAATGTATTTATTTATTCTTCTCAAAGAGTGACTTTAAATATATGTAATGAAAGCTGCGTTCACTCTCAAAGGCAGAGGTATTCATGCTTATGCTGCACGCTTCCTCCCAGATTAATCATAGCCAAACTGCATCTGTTTATCCAGTTCGAAACCTCAAATTTTCTTATTTTTAAATAGTTTCATTGCAGCATTTTGCATATAAAATATTGACTTCTTTTTTGTAAGAGTTTGATCCACCTCACAAAAGTTGAACATAAAATAGTTTTTCTGACAGTTAGCCTATATGTTGGACCATTTTATGATTTTTAATGTTGCCCACAAAATAAATTATTAATCTTTCAGTCATTTCAATTTCTTTATAATGCTCCTTATAGAAGGATAACCACAGCAATGTTAGCAGGACCAGGACAAGTTATGCGTGAGTATCAAGCTACTGCATCACTTTGAGAATAAGCACCTCTCATCCCTGCTCAGGAAAGTCAGGCTTGTTAATCTATTGTGTATGTTGAGAGCACTCAAATAGCATTAGTGTTTGGCTGAATTATCTTTGGGCTTCTGTGGTAACTGCCCTCCAAAGGACCTGCCATCACTTTGCAAAGTCAGGGTGKCAAGAGGTGCTGGGGGGCTGCCAGACTCTCCAGGAACGGGTGGAAGTCGGTGGTCAGAGCTTCCTGACCTGGAGAGTGAGACCTGAGCCTCCGTCCAAATATGACACAAGGTGCTACCAACGGGAACGCTGCAAGGGACAAAGAAATGAGGAAGGAATGCCTAAGTGCCAATAAATTTAAAAATGAGGAGATTGCAAAAATGACCTGGAAACAAACATAAGTTAAAGAGGCAAAGAAGAAGAATTTTTACTGGGAATTCCTAATCTATAAGTGCATTTTGTGCACTTGTTATATATTCAACCTATATGCAAAATGAAAAATTATTTTGCTTGCCGAGTTGCTATAATTTTATATTGGGACAATCTGCTGCTCTTTATTTCTCACGGAAAATAAACTGTTTCAGTTTCTCAGAGGGACATTGAACTTATCTKTTGAACACTTGCTTGGTAATATTGACATTCAGTGCACTAATTTTATTGCGTTTTGCTCTTGTTTTTATTTTCACACAAACTGTGGGACTTTTCTAGGAACTTGTTTCTTGAACATGTGATTATATTTCAAGTTTTTTACTGTTTCAGATCTATTGTTTCCTCATTAAAATTGCACTGAAGAGAMGACTAGAGCAGTGGCATTTGTGTCTGAGTGCATATACAATAGTGACCACAAGTTTTAGGTTTACATGACCTCTAATGCTGAGCCCTGCACTATCCCATGTCTCTGCACTATGCTGCAATTACAAACTCCACAATGAAGCCTAGTGGTGAACAGTGAAAAAAATATATCCAGGAAGCTGAAAAGTATCTTACACAGATATTTAGGTAGGATGAAAAGGAATACATAGTAAAAATTAAGCAAAATAAAATAGTTTGAGAAAAAATCCTTTTGTGTTGGAAAGGTTTCTTTTGGTATTTCAGTTGACACTTGCTATGCTACAGTAATAAAGATACATGAAGATACTGGAAAACTTTCACTGTTGCTGCTGAAAACTGATTTTTGTGTTAACTGATATATGCAACTCTCATTGTTTTTCTCAGTGTCTAGAATTCAAATGCAGAGTAGAATTCACTGTCTCTAGAACCATGCCTGTACTTGTACATCTTTCAGTGATGTTTTCTATTTTTTCTAWTTTTATTTGGAAGTGGTAGATTTATTCACCTTTAATGGGCTAACAGCCATGTATTAGAAAGATTAATAAAAGGTTGAAATGCTGCGCATGTAATTATGTCTGAGAAATATGTGTGGAAATGGTGTACGTGATATTTGAAGTTCATCAGTGCATTAGGAGAATGCATTCAACATACAGTAATCAGAYTTACAAAATGAAAATTAATGTATAAATTATTTGGCCAACATTGCACTTTGCCCCAGAACCTGGTGTTTATTATGGTGAGCTTTAGCAGGAAGCAGCACAGTATCAATTGGGAAAACATTTCTTTGCTGAGCTGAGAACAGAATGGCTTTCTAGTTTCTAAGTGGGGAACCTGGTTCTTTGGTTTCTTTGTTCCTAGTTAGACTGCTCCCAAGCTATTTTAGCCGAGCATTTTACATACTAATGGAGCCTAGGGAAGTGCAGTTGGCAGCTGTTCATGGGATAATAATGAAACACACTGTTTAGTATTGCATACTGCTGCTGTAAAACGCGGGAAGTATTTTATAGAGATCATGGTGAGCGGAGCTGCATCCACTTTAAGCAGTTTGAGTGCGCGAACTGCGAGTGAGGAAGTTGTGTTTTCAAATGAGAGTAACTAGCAATCATTTGCTTTTGCAGGTAAAGAAAACGTGTGCAGAATCAGATGTTTCAGAGCCTCCGAACTCCAGGTACAGTAACTAAAATGATTAATGAGCACAGCTGTGTGGAAGCATGTGGAGCAATATTGTAGATATGCAGAGTTAGTGTATGAGACATTTGCTCTGCAAAGAATGAAAGACCAGGTTAATTTTAGCTATTCACTCTAGAAAGTTTTCTTGATTATTATTTCACCTCAGTTGAAGATGGAGGGTAGCATGTGGAGTGACCAGAATTAAGATGGTGCCATTCATCACCTTCAATTTAAAAGAAAATCATATTAAATAGTGCAGGGAAATCTGTGTAATCTGATTTCATTTTTTTTTCTTTTAGCTCTTCTCTGGATGTCTGAGTTGTGGAATCTACTGACACTATAATTTGCTTTTATTATGGGCAGTTCTGTCTTTAACTGGGGAAAAAGCACTTTTGCCAAGCCCTTTTTGTTTTCACTTATCAAAAACATGCCAGTGTGTTCATAGGTTAGGAAAATACCATACATTCTACAGAAAGAAAAATTTCAACTACTAACCTTCTTAATTTCRTGCACACATGGATGAGGAAATGACTTTAACTTCTGTGTTTTGCACATATGTATGTGGGTGTATATGTACTTTCGAGCAGGTAAAGTAGTAATTGCTTTAAATCCATCTTTGCCTTGCTTCTGTTTCAAAAATATGTTTTGCTTTCAGAAAAAATAAAAAGCTTTAATAACGAGGGGAGAGCCACAAAACAAACCTAAAGTCACCCCAACATTCTAAATAAGACTCAGAAAATCCTAATTTTACCCTCAAATCCTAGTCTTACTTATGTATCAATAGGATCCTCTGAGAGCTGGAGTTCGGCTGTAATATCCAAGGCAAACATATATCTGTGGCTTGAGCTATGCTGTGCAGCACTTGTATTTCTGTGATTTGCTCATCATGTTCCTTTCTTTAACACATCCTTGCCTTTTATTCAATTTGGTAACAGCATAAGTAGGGGAATACAGCATTCAATACCAAATAGGCTTGTCATGAAGTCAGTAGGGATTTTGTGCTGGGCTTCAGCAGAAGTGTACTTCATCTTCTTCCATTAAATTTTAAATCGAAATTTTATCTGCTGTCTCTCTGCTTGGAATTAGAATTTATGTATCATAACTGCTCAGTCCTTTCCTAGTACTTGATGCAATGAACAATCCCAACTCAGCAAAATGTTTGTGCGTGAGCTCAGTTTTAGGTGTCCTATTTATCCTAATGAGACTTCTAAATTTCCTGTGTTTAAAAGTAATAAGTCCATGGACTTAGCTTCATTGACTGTGGCACTGCAGCAAAACTGTGGAACCAGGGTTTAATGTACTGTCATTACTGTCAATCATTAGGAAGTATCTTGTAAACTGTAGCTAAATTCATTGTACTAAGTCTGAGGAACAGACAGGAACAGCTTTTCCTTCTAAGTGCAAGACAGAACTGACATTATAAACAGTCAATTTGAATAATAATTCTGATACAGTTTCAAGTTTTTAGAAAACGGCATTTTCAAACAGAAATGCTTTTTATTTGGAACTCCCAAACTGGAGTTTCAGAATATATCAGATCAGAACAGTTAAAATGACTGTTCCTGGCCCAAGTGTGTGCTGCATATACAGCCCGAAGCAAGTTTTTTTGTCAGATGATGATTCGGGATGCGACTTTGGTTTTACACTATAATCTCTGACAGACCTTTGACTGGAGCGGCACTAGAGGGCACCGCTTAGCACATAAAACTTTAAAGCCTGAAGCAAGGTAATTCTTCTCTAAACAAGTCTTAAGTGAAAACATTGCCCATAAAATGAAACATCAGCATAAAAATGAATGCTGGAGACACACTGCCTTACAGAATAGCTCCTGGCTTGGGACCTAAGGCCAATATCATTCATTTATTTAGCTAGCTTTATAGTGTGTTGGTTTTGGATTTGAAACTATTACAATAAATGCAGATGGAAAGTGTTTTTACAGTAGAGAAGTAATTAAATTGGGTGTGGGAACTTTGTCAGGAGAATTCTTGGAGTGACATGTGTGTATCAGCAGATTCTTTGTCTTGCTTGGCCTTGGTTTGTCTTTTAGAAAAAAACACTCAAGCTACAGATGTGACTAGTAAATTTTTGTTGAAGGGAATTTACTAACCAATGCTAAAAAAATCTTTCCAGAAGTATCCAGCTATATAGACAATAAAAAGCAACCATCAACAGCAGTCACTTATGCAGGATGGTTGCTATCTTGACAGACGGGTAAACTGCACACATCCAGAAGGACCTGGAGTTAAGAATTGAAGTTGTAGTGGATTTGACAGTTATGAGCACACAAGAAATCAGGTATTCTTTAATGTGTCTGTTGCATATTTTGACTCACAAGTGATTTTACCTTCAAGTGAATTCATCTTTCAAGTCTGTAACACAAAATGCTCATGGCTTTCTGGAGCTCTTGCTGTGGGACAGGGGCACCAAACGGCTGGGACTTGCCAGCAGCCACGGTGCAGGTTCTTGACAGAGGAGGAATAAGCATAAGTGACAGCTCCAGTGCAGTGATGCTCTCCCATACTCCCTGGAGAGTAATTAGGAAGAGCAGTTCCTAGGCTCAGAGCCTATAGAAATATACTGCTTTTCATTTTCCTGTATGTTTTCTTTAAAGTGAACTGCAAGGGAAGTTTAGTCTAAACTGAACAGCCACAATTAAATTTAAATGTTGTATAAGTTAGCACTGCAGTGCAATGTATGGGAGTTCATTTGTTTGCAGCTATGAATCAGCTGCACTTTTACATAGATAATCAAAAAAGAAATTTTAGTTCTAAAATATGTAATAGCTTGAATAGCTTCTTGTTGCCTTAAAAGATGTAAACTGCTCTTTCTTGACATGAATGTATATTTTATTGACCATACGGAAAACCTGTTGCAGCCTCATATCTCCAGATATATCTCAATATCTCAAGATATTACAGAAATGAGTAAAACACCAGAGTATTTGAGATGCTGAAGTCTGGTGAAAGGATCAATACCAGGTCCCTGGCTCCACAGTCAGCTATGGCATGAGCTGCTGGGCTCCACAACTGGGGGCAGCATCATTCCTGTGACAACAGATTGCCTGGGGCACGTGTCACTTCTGCCCCACATCTTCTCCTCCTCAGTAGCCACTTGCTGCGTTATCTAGTTTGCTGGGTTATAGGAAGAAATAAATTCCCCATTTTTGTTGTATAATTGTTTACTAAAAATACATGGATCCAATATCTTAAGCTGTAGCTGTTCTTCCTGATTTGTTTTTCCCACATATATATATATAAATTCTGAAAACAAAAGAGGAGGAAAAGAAACTACTCTTAAGAATATATTCCCTTTTAAACCTTTTATGGCATGCTGCAAGAGCAGTATAGTCACAGGGATTTTAACTATTACTTTAGTACCACCTAGACAAAGTTCCTATATATTTCTGAAATCAGATTCACTGATGGTGGCCACTGGCAAATAATAAATCACATACACAAAGTTGCCTAGTAAACAGGCTGACAAAAACAACCCACAGAGGTTTTATTTRGAGATTTTAAAATAGTCTCCAGTTTAATATGGGTTTCAGTGAAGCTTCCTGCATAGATTGGAGCTGTTTATCAGTTGATTTTTGCTCTGTTCTCCACATCCACAGTTCTTTAAAGTGCACTGCATTCTASCAAAAAAATGTAGAAAACATAATACTATGTGCCTGCTTCTTCATTTTAAAAGTCTTCTGTAAATCAACTGAAAGGGAAATGGTCTTTTTTATTTTGTCACTGATCTCATGTTTTGTTTATTTGTTTCCCTGTTGGGACCTAATGCACATATACATGGAGTTGAGAGAMAACTGCTATCATTAATGCATTAGCAGATAAAAAGAGGACACTGATAAACAGAGCTTTTGCACTTTCCTTCATTCCTTCCGTTAGGGCAAAATTTGTTTCCTCTGCCACTCAGAGGCACTGTTATCACCATAGGACTCACTGTTCTTACTGAACTTGATCATGAGTGCATTAGCCAGCAGTATTTTCATGGGCATGATTGTATTTAGCAAAAATGGAAAAGGAAAATAACATGCATCTTTTGCAATCTCTTCTAAAATATCAGATCATCCAAAGTGTGGTTCTCAGGAGTTTTGACTTCATAAGAAACTCTTGAAACACACTAATAAACTGGCCCCACAAGACCTTTACAGTCTCAGCCCAGGATGACCGAGGTGATTGATCCTTCAGGAATGTCTTGACATTGTTTCAATGCCTTATAAATTCTCTACATTTACCAGAACAAACATGGCAACACCTCAGCCCAAATCCAAGCCTAGCAGCTCATTCTGCAGATTCTATGCTGAAGCTCTAGTGGGGTAATCCTATGATTTTTAGAACACACTTGACCCTGTACACATCAGTTTATAAGGGAGTGGGACAAGCTGTACTTTCTCATTCACTTGCTGTTTAACGGATGAAATGTATAGTTGGAGCTTGTCTATTTTTACTAAACAATACTACTTACTTTTGCTATAATAATGCCCAAAACATTAATGACAACTTCTATAGCTATTGCTTGCGTTATTGCTTGGCAGCTCAATTATAAAGCTTTTCTTTACCATGTAAATCCCAGGAATCTGTTGTTTATCTGTTTAAATAGCAAGTGAATGAGAAAGTACAGTTGTTGTTTATGTATGAGAAAGCATRTTGTTTAGCTGAATACATTTGTTTACTTCCTCCTCAGCCACGTCGTAAAACTTTGTTAACAAGTAAGGATATGTTATCTAAAAGCCTCATAGGTTATCTGAGCTGCAAAGTAGTTTGAATGTTCTTCTGAGTCAGGAAGCATAGCTTCATCTCAGATTGAAAAATCTGCAGATCTTGGTGACATGGTAAATGGGCTTCATTTGAGGAAATGAAAGTTTGACAAGGCTCTCTATTTTAGATACCTAAGCTGTGATTCTTCTCACTCTAAAACAGATGTGTAAGGCAGATACTTGTGAGGTGCCGTTAATCCGATCTACTTCTCTCTATTGACTATAATGACAGCTTA